TGGTGTCTTTGGCTCTAGACTGGGGAATCAAATTTCAAACCAATTCACTAATAGACGGCAATTTTGTTTTATCAATAAAGTCGAGAACAGGAATTATAAACGCCAAGACTGTGTTGTTTGGATAATTTGGTAAAATACAGCTGTAAAAAGTGAAGACTCCACACTATGAAGAAGGTCTAGGGTGCTGTTCTTTAGTCGATTAATCAGGTTTAGCGTCTTTAAGCCCTTCTCGTACGGGATTAGTTTTACCTGAAGTCCCCTGGTATACTGTAATAACTATGAATGTCATGTGTTTCTAGCCCAGGGTGACCATTTTTGACCATATTTACCTGGGACAGCCCCAGTTTTGAGTCCTTTGTCCCCTGTCCCAGCAAATTTATACAAAACCTGTGATTTGTCCCAGTTTTACACAAGATGTTCCAGTTGTCCCCATTTTGACCAATTTGATCCCTTCCAACAGTAAAGAGGAGCACAAAAAGACAAAGAGGAACAGGAAAACCTAAAGTCCGCCATATCGGACCACTGTAAAAGAACTAACCACATTCTGGATTGGGACGGGGCTTGGGTCATTGGATCGGAAAACAACAACTTCAAAGGCTGAAACAGAGAGGTAATTGAAATCAGGAAACGCGGCATGGGCCATCATTAACCGTGATGACGGAGCGTTCCTCCTTTCACACACCTGGGACACCCTCTTTGAGAAAACACCAGGCAGCGTGGTCAGTCTGAGCGACCTGCAGGACCATCAGGCTGACCAGGTCTACAGGAAGTAAGAACAGCTGATATACGACACGTCACCACCAACACCGAGGACAGTTCTGAAGATGGCTTGCAGCAGCAGCCAAAACATGTCAATAAGGTAAATACATTTTACTGTTTTGTCTTTAAAAAGAACCCAGGAAGTTAAAGTACATAAGACGACAAAATGAACATCTTTGGCTTAGTAAAGAGAAGGATATTGTCATTTGTTTAGCTAAAATGCAGAAAACTGTGCTTGAAAACGACCATAAAGTGAAAAAATGCACCAACAAAGTCCCTTAAATGTCCCTTTATACTGACCCAAAAGTGAGTCAAGAATGGCCAATGTTACACGTTCTTTTCACTGTTTTATTTATACCAAACATCCCAGCCCAGGTGTGTCCCAGTTTTCAATTCTGAAAATCTGGTCACCCCATTCTAGTCCCGTGTGAATGATGTGTAAAAAGATCTGTAAAACTCCCCTGAATTTTACCTCCTGTAATTCCACAAAAACTCAGAGCTCCTCAGGTGATTCTAGTCTCATGTCTGTAAACTGGTCTGTTTTTCATCTTTGCATTGAAGCCAACAGTGATTGAAAACGACTCTACGGCTCGTTTTAGGTCCAAATATGAACTAAATCGGCAACATTTATTCTCCACGGACTACACTCTAATCCAGTTATCGTATTTTTCGACGTACAGCTCCCTTGTTGTGGCAACTGAGGACCAGCAACATGGAGCCTCAGTGGAAAAGTTTAAGTGCTTTTGGTGCAAAGTTTGAAGAGTTTGGATGGATTCATTTTGGTTTTTGATTTGATTCTGTTTTCTTAAAGGTGCACTGTACAACTTCTCTAGTGGAGGGTCCGTCACCTGCTTGTTTCCATGAAGATCATACTGTTTTGCCCTGATTATTTCACAGTATTTGTAGTATTAACGTGTAAAGTAATATATATTTCACAATGCAAATGAGTTAATGGTCAGATCTATAGCGAAGCAAGCCTTGCAATGGGGCTGGGTATCACGAAGAAGTTGCCGATACGATACTTACCTCGATACAGTAAACTTTCGATTCAATACAATATATTTCAGATCGATTCAATGTGGTTCTGTAAAAACTAAAGGCAAAATCATGGCTATGATACTAAAAGTCTTTCTTAAACCACTTCTTGTGCAAAGTTATTATTAAATGATTCAAGGCTGCACTAATCGAGACCAAGACCAGTCCGAGACCACAGGGTCCCGAGACCAGGACAAGACCAAGACCTCTGAGGGTCAAGACCGAGACAAACCTGAGACTTTTAAAGGCCGAGACTGAGAGAAGACCGAGACCACGGCCCCTCGAGACCGAATCGAGACCATCTTCGGAATTTTCTACATTTATTTGTATTTTACTCTTATTTTGGCACATGTATATCAATGTTTTTATAAATCTATCTCCATTTTATCACTTGTTGAGTGTCAGACCTCAAGATCGAGACAAGTCCAAGTGCCTTCAAGATCGAGACTAAACCGAGTCCAAACGCGGTCGAGTCCGAGACGAGACCAGAACCAGTCTCGAGTACTACCACACTATGAAACATGCACATTTTAATCATCAAAACAGTGAAAATGTCAAATGTGTCGCATAAATGAGTTTCCTTCCTCTAAATAAGCAACAAAACTGTAGCTCTGTAACAAATTAAGTTACTAACATATACCAAAATAATACTCTTGGCCATATATCGATACAGTATCATCACATCACAATACAATATATCGATATTTCAATATTTTTGCACACCCCTACCTTGCATATTGTAAGAATTCATGTTTTTAAGGCACTTTTGAGCATTAAAACCCCCGTAACTGAACAAATGCAAGGGCTGTGTGTTTTATGCCCATACTGTGGAACATTCCAGGCAAAGAAACAACATCTCCATGGAGCGAAGCACGCGGCAAACCCTCCACCTTAGAAGTTTCACAGTGCCATCTTAACTTGGCATTACTTTGTGGATTAATCATTTCCTTGTCATAATGTCCTAATACGACTTACATGCTTACATTCTCAAGATTCCTGTTTCCTTTGTCGAGCTCACACGGCTCTTAACTAACCTGATAACTTGATTAAAAGTGACTCTCGCGTACGGACCACTTGGCAACTCTTGTTTTGTGAAATTAAAGCTTTGACATTACCACTTACATTATTTTCCTTCGCGATAGTTGTCAGAAGTTTGCTAGTGAACAGACTTTACGTGGGCTGATTTGTTTAGAGAAAATTTAAGCAACCTGTCTGAGCCAAATCTGCAGGGGTGAAGTAGAAATAAATTCCAAAACAAGAAAATAAGATGGTCTAATGTTACTATAGCTTAAAATATGATTATCCACTGAAAAGGCTTATAAAATGTCTTTTATTTGACAACACGTAGGAGGGCAAGTAGGGCTTTCAAAAACTAACCAATAATTATAATCAGATTAACAGTGTTTCCGTTTAGCTGGCATGGTGGCTGTTAACTTTTGAACTTTAGCATGCAGACAGAGCAGATCTGTGGTGCGTGTGGGATGTGTGGACTGATAATGTGGAAAACAAATGTCTCCGGACAGAATTCTAGGAGCCGATAAAGTGGAGCAGCATGTGGCTTCTGCGTAAATCAGAGGAGCTCCAGCACCGAAGCCTGAGGAACTGGGGGCTTTTTTAAGACATGACTTTGTTCTTTTATAAACAAACACGTGTATTTAGGAAAAGAAACGCACAACTGTTTTGTTTATGAATGGAACATGAACTACGCACGGACTGATCCCCTGAGGAGGGTGGAGCAGGCAAAAATTATACTTATAAAAGATTAACACTACTTAAAATAATATTACTCAAGCAGAAGAACAAAGTAGTGGTCCAAGAAATGACTCAAGTAAGATTTAACAAGTATTTAGATAAAATACTACTAGGACCAAACATGTGATTTATAATTTGAAGTTAATGAAAACATTAAATAAAGCACAAAACATGGTATTTGCAAAGGATAGGAGCGGTGCAAGAAACACAAATGTTCAAATCATTTCATATTGTCAACACAGACTTACTCACAGTGGTAAAAAGTAACCACAACTTATTTTTAAGAGCACTGATACTTCATACTTTTTAATTATTCAAGTAGAAGTGAAAGTATGTTGCTAGAAAAGTACAATTTACTCAAGTAAATACACACCACACGTACGTGCTTCAATAAGATAATTAGGAGTTATGACTTAACTATAATTAATCTGTAATTAGTCATTAAAAAGTAAATCTATTTGAGTCATAATGGGCAGGGAAGTAAAACACAAACTATTATGTTAAAGTGTACTAACAGGTACACGGTACATGCTCGGTACAAAACCGTGCCAAAAACAGAAGATAAATTTGAGCAGCGTTTCCCAATAAACGATTCAGGAATGTCAAGCGATACAACAGCTTTGATTAAGTGTTACATGGAATTTCAAGAATTACGTTCATGAAAAAAATATTGCAACGTTTTTTTTCATGGTAGAATTAAATGTGATGAGTTCAGCTCAGTAGCTTTGGTTACATGCACACTCAAAATCCAATTAATATCCGGTTTTTGGAGTTATAAGACCATTAAAATTACATCTAAACAAAATCATCTGATTTCTTTCTGATCCTGGTCCGCCTGATTACGCACATCCTCCTGCTGGTGCCCAGAGTCAGGACTAAACAGCATTTCAGTTTTATGCAGCTAAACTTGTGTTTGAAACTGTTTAAATCCAGGCTCAGAACTCTTCTGTTCAGCTGTAAATAAAACTGAAAGGTTTTTATTCCACCCTGTTTTCATTTAAAGTTCTTTTTATGGTGATTATTCATGTTTTGGTTTGTCTGTATTGTATTGTGATTTTAATGTCTTTCTTATTGCGTAAATCACTTTGAATTACTTTGTGCATGAATTGTGCAACACAAACTTTCCTTGTCGTTACATGTAATCCAGGAATCAGATTATAATTAGATTTTTATGTGCCTGTGAACAAGGACATTGACTCACTAGTGAAATATGGACGAAACCAAATTGGGGAAAAAATGGTTGAATTACAGGTCAGATCTGTGGAGAGGTGAGCAGACTTAAAGAAAGAATGAACATTTTTGAACGATAAAATCACCCGTAATGAAACAAAAGCCAGATGGGCAAGTATAATGTCACACTGTGGAACATTCCAGGCAAATCAGTAACTGAACAGAGACTAGCAGACCCACATTTTCTTATATGGTCTAATTTGACAGGCTGTGTTGACATTTACCTGTGTGGACTTGTCTCTTGTACACGAGGGGTAGAGCAGGTGAGGGTCCCGGGGCCACTGTCCGCTCAGGTAGGGCCCAGTGATGGCTCCCAGAGACGAGGTGCGGCGGATCACCCCAGAGCCCGCCTGCTGCTGGGGCCTGCTCCGTTCAACTGCACAAACAAAAACACATGGAAACACTCAGATGAAGCCTAAAAACTGAAAATAAGAAACGAGTTAAAGCTCCTACATTACGCAAAATTGACTGTTGTGAATTTTAAACCATGTTATAATTGCTGACATGATTCTTCTCAAACCTCTTGCAGTTAATTTGCAACAAAACATTTGATGGTTCTGTGAGCACGCCCCAAAATCTTTGCAATTTCAAGAGTGCTGCAGCCCCGTGAAAGACTATTTTACAATTTTTGACTCAGAGTTAAATCTTTTTTGGCCCATTTGGGTGTTGATAGCCTGATTCATCAGCCGGTTTTACTTCGTTTCACTTCGTACAAACCTCGCAGCCTTAGATTTCGTTCGCTCGAAGGTAGGCGGGTACTTTTTATCATTTAACCAATCGCTGCTTTTTGGTCATGACGTATGTAATGCTCCGCTAATGGGGCTAACTCGTATATTAAGCTTTTCCCAAATCCTGTAGGAAGAAGGACAATAACGTCTTTCACCTTGATAAAATTCACCAAACATTCTCTTTATTCCGTCTTTAAATCCTCGATCTTGGGACACACACTGAATATATGGCTCTTCGCTGATTGGCTGGTGCCCGAACTCGCACTTACGGGTTTTTTTGCGAACCGTCTATTGTATTTTGATCCCTGACCTAGTCGCTGGAGAGAAATGAAATTGAGCGGAGGCACTAGGTGGCGCCAGACTGGGTCGGGTGTTGATCTCCATAGGCCACAACCTCACTCTTTAGACAAATACACACACATCACCGGATCTGCTTAAATCCAATAACAATTCAAGTTTAAACAGTTTGGGGTTGGAAAATATGCACAAAAATCATGATACCCAGCTGCCTAATAATTGTGCTCACAGTGTAATATTATAATGCTGTTATCTCAGGGGTCTCCAACCTGTAGTTCGGGAGCTACCAGTAGCTCTCCTCCCCCTTCCAAGTAGCTCGCCAAGGGATTTCTGAATTACAAGTATTGCGCTGAATATGTAAAATCTCATTAATTAAATACCTATTACCATTGTACACGTATTATTTTGATGCCTAATTTTGTACAAGTGGATAATAGTGTATGTTTTATAGGCTGTTTTAACTGTACTTCATCTAAGGCTCGTCGTGGCTCTTATATATAATCTTAATAATGTTGTGACTGCTAAAACTAGTAGCTCTCTAGCATTTTTTGCTTTGTAAAAGTAGCTCATCGGAGGAAAAAGGTTGGAGACTCCTGTGTTATCTCACCAAAAACAGACCAGGAGTTGTGTTTTGTTTCATTCCCACATGTTTGAGTAACCTTTTATTATTAGTCTGTCTACATCTACAAGATAGATAGATACTTTATTGATACCCTGAAGGAGAAATTCAGAAATTAAGAAAAACAATAAGGCATAACATGAGTAGAGGAGAAGAAGAAATGCTCAAAATGCCACCTTGTGATGTCATATAGTGGTAGTTTTCAAGTTAACAGCAAGTTTTTACCTTTAGTTCAGTGGAGATTCGCAATTCCAGGGCTGAAATGATCCAAATTATTCTTGTGAAGGTGTATGTATGAAGGTTTAAAAACACAGTGGAGCACTTCCTGTATTACCACGTGACATCACAAGGTGGAAAAGAGTTTTCTTTTTCAGAACTCAGACCTAAATATGCAGGATTTGTGTGTTAAACGTGTGTGAATGAAACAAAACACAACTCCGGGTCTGTTTTTGATGAGGAAACAACATAACAGCACAATATGGACTCTTTAAGCGCACTGAATTGTTGTGTCCTTGAGCAAGACACTGGATCAACTTCTGCCAACTCCATGTGCAACCCAGAGTACAGTTCGTAGAAAGAAACGCCCGCCAAATCAACTCCTATCCATGGGTATAAAGTAGACACATTATGCTTTTGTCTGCTGCATAAAACGAGTCTGCTGATTTCTGCGTCGGAAAATTGCGGAGCCCAATGGGAGCTGATTCCGATTCCGGCACTCAAACACCATCACAACAAAATACCACATGCTGTCTGCCCCTCCTGTGGATAGCTGCAGATCAAGATGTTTTAAATTTGTGCCAAAACGGTTACGCAACGGTGCCGAATCCTACGTGTATCAGATTAAGAGAATAAAATTGCAGAACAAAGTAAGCACAGAGCAGTGGGTGTGTCCCAGAGGTGATGAAAACGGGGAAATCACAAATGACGCGCTGAATACAAGAGAATAGAAGACTCAAACATGCATGAATCACTCTAAATACAACTACTTCAAGTGGGTAAATGAGAAGGGAAACGATTATAATATGGTTAAAAGCTCTGAAAAGTCGAAAATACAACATAACTTGAGATAATCATGAGTAACATAAGTGGGAGAGTCTCTAGACATGGTTTCGATTTCAAATGATCAAGAATATTCTCAGAACCAAAATAAACTTGAGGTGTGTCGGGTCTGAACAGTTTCTGAAACACAAACTTAAAAGGTGCAACGTGTAACTTTTCTCATGGAGGGTTCCTCAAATGCTTTTCTCCCACGGTGATGTTATTGCGTTGTCTGGAATGTTCCACCATATGGTATTATTAAACCTTTCCTTCTATCTTTGTGGAGACCAAACTAGACCAAGTTACAGGTCAGATCTGTGGAGAGGCGACCCCGCTCACAGTCAGAAATGTCTGTTTTTCAAGGTATTTTTGAGTTATAAAAGCACCTGTAATTGAATAAATGTAAGTTAGAGCTGTTTAATGCCATACTGTGGAATATTTTGGGCAGAGAAATGACATCTCCACAAAGAAAAGTTACAGAGTGCACCTTTAACTGACTCATATCAATGAAACGACTATAACTTGGTAAAAAGCTCTGAAAAGTCAATTTTGTATAAGAAGTTGGCTTTAGATAGACAGAGAAAAATGCATAAACTTGACAGATTCTGAAAGAAATTGAAAACTTTAAAGGTGTATTGTGTAACCTTTTTTGGTGAAGGGTCTGACACATAGTCAGGACTGGTGCCACCAAGTGCCTCCGTTCAATTAAATTTCTCTCCAGCGACTAGGTCAGGAATCAGAATACACTAGACGGTTCGCAAAAACCCCGGAAGTACGAGTTCGGGCACCAACCAATCAGCGAAGAGTCATATATTCTGTGTTGGCAACGATTCCCGAGATCGAGGATTTAAAGCCGGAACAAAGAGAATGTTTGGTGAATTTTATCAAGGGGAAAGACGTTATTGTCCTTCCAACAGGATTTGGGAAAAGCTTAATATACCAGTTAACCCCGTTAGCGGCGCATTACATATGTCATGACCAAATAGCAGCGATTGGTTAAATTTAAAAAAAGTATCCACCTACCGTCGAGTGAACAAATTCCACGCTGCGAGGTCAGACCGTTTCTACAAAGTGAAACGAGGTGAAACTGGCTGATGAATCAGGCTGTCCGACACATGCTTCTCGCTATAAAGTATAAATGATTCCTTCATCCTTTTCCAGCTTTCTTACCAGTTCAACAGTGGTTGGCTCATAGTTATTCTCAGGATTTGTGTAAAATCGTCGTCCAGTTAGAATTCATGGCAAAGGAGAAACTGAATTTGCCAACTGCACAAAATATTTTTGACTAAAAACTGCTGTGCAGTTTGTCCAGTCCAAAAACTTTCGTCCAGTTGACAAATTGAATTTCTTCTTTGTCAAGATTTTCCATAAAGACATTTTTTAGTTGCTTGGAGTGTTCCACAGTAGGGCATTACACTTATTTCTTTCTAAACACATGCAAGTGACACCACAGGGCCAAGTTACAGGATCAGATCTGTGGAGAGGCAAGCCCACTGACAATGAGAATGCATATTTTTAAGTCAATAAAAGTGCATGTAATTGAGTAAAGGATAGTAATGGACAGGGCTGAGAATCACAAATAAATTGGCGATATGATACATAGGCCACGATACGATACATATCTCACGATACGATACATATCTCGATATAGTTCCCACCATACTGTGGAACATTCAAGACAAAGTAATAACATCTCCATGGAGAGAAGAATGTGACAGACCCTCCATCATAGTTACCATATTTTCTGCACTACAGGGCACGCTGAAAAGCCTTCAACCTCCATCAAAAACGACTGCGCGCCCCACACTCTAGAACGCCCTATACATGAATCCACTCAAGTGTCCCAGTACGACTTCAGTAAACTATAAAGCCGCAAACACACACGGAGCAGACAGAGACCGCACAGCGAAACACACCCACAGACACACTCATCACTCCACGCCGACGAGGAACGGAACTGAGAAACGAATCGAAAAAGCGAGTGCAATGTGCCACTTCTCGACACAACTGAACAACTGAGTCACTGAGAACACGCCGACAATCCGTTGGTCCCAGACAGCACCTCCCTACACGCCACAACTGAACAAAGCCCAGAGTCACCGTGAACGCGACAAACAAACAAAACCACTCACCCATCCAACTGTTGTGTTTCGTTTAAAGTCCGGTGCGGTTTATTTGTGAAAAAAGTTCGAAAGTAGACCATTTAATGACAGTGTGCCTTATAATCCAGAGCGGAAAATAAGGTATACAGTGCACCTTTAAGAGTGATGGAAAAATATAAAACAAATATTTAAAACACAGAGGAAGTGAGAGCTTTAGGGAGTCTTAGAACTCCAGACTGGCTTATCCCGTGTAACTATTAAAGGACTTTTATTCTAATCCCAACAGAGTGCCTCGCTTTTTACTTTAACACAGCAAGTTTTCTACATTACAAGCTCGGTCATCTTCACTGTACATATAAAAAATGTATATAAACGTTTATATTTTATCTATGGAATGAGGAAAGTGCTCGAAATCCCAAATAAATACAGGAAGCCAAAATCCATCAATACAGTAACAGTATTAAGCTTCTAACAGACAAGACCAGGCTAAAGAAGTGCACTCCCACGTATAAGCTACCGTCCACTTACATGTCCGAGTGTCTACAGTAGTAACAATAATATTTACAGCACAGCGCCACCTCCAGCCGCCCAG